GGTGTCAGTGATCGGTTCTTGATCTCAACCAAATCAGTGAAGAAGCTGGCTTTCTCTAGAACTGTGTTGGAGCTACTGCTGGGAACCTTGCCACAGGTGAGCCAAGAGTCTGCCTGATAAGGACCTCCCTCCTGGGTGGCCCTATTTTCACCCACTATGTCGTCCCCAGCAGCAGGGGAAGCCGCAGGCTGGCCTGGGGCTGCAGGGAGCACTGTGGCCTGAGCGCCCATGGCCCTGGGATCTCTGAGCTCCTGGGAAACCCTCCTAGACTGGGACTCTCAAGATCTGTCCCTTGATCTCCATTCTGGCTGTCACCGACAGACACATCACCTTGGGAAAGTGTGGCACACATCATCATTTGAGCACCTGAATCCAGCCAGGCCTGAAGCCCTTATGTTTATGACTTCCTACCTTTTTATGTATTTATTTATCTTTTGCTTAGGCTAGTTTGAGTTAGGGTTTTGAAATGTCCTAACAATGAAATTTTCTGGATAGTATGATTATTGTGATTTTAGCACAAGCATCAATATGTCTTCAGAATTAAAGGTGCTATAACATAGGTTCTGACATGTTCAAATGAAGCCCATCACGCTGTGATCATGATTTACCTTTAACCTTATAAAAGTAAAACAGTGGCCCAGAGAAGTGATCTAAGACCAAGGAACCAGTCACAAGACAGGTAGTGAAACATTAAATAGAGAAACAGAACAAACAGTTCTCTAGCTGCAGTCGACTGCAGAGTGTAAACCCCTGTTTTTCTGCTTCAAAAGTTACACCAGGGAAAACATCCCTTAAAAGAAAACTTAGCACTTTAAGAAACAGGTAAAAGTTATAATCTAACGCGTGTGATTGTTGTCTGTTAATGTCTGACATACCTTTCGGCTGTATCAATGTCATTCTTCTATTGCTCTCTGTACAAGCCCATCTCTATGCCTGTGTGTAGATTGGGATCCATATTTCCAAGCTCTGTGTTCAAGAGGTAATAAAACCATTGTTCAAGTCTGTTTCTTCTTATTCCTGAGTTAACTGGGTTAGCTGTGAGGGCCCAGCTCCTGGCAGACATTCCTTCTTCCTCCTGCTCTCCCACCATCACCTCTTTTTTTTTTTTTTTTTCCTTTGCTTCTTCCAGAAACTGAATAATTGGAGGCTGGTGTTTGGGGTGGAGGTTGCATTCTCCTGGATGCAGCAGATGGTGGCTGCGCACGGGGCACCACGGATCTCTGGCTGCCCTGACGGTGGACCAGGAAAGCCCACCTGGTCCACGCTGAAATGGACAGCTTGGCGGTTTTCCAATGACGCCTTTTTTATGAAGACAGTTAAGGACCTAGATTTGGTCCACGGCTGTAAGTTCATCCTCCACAGGTGAAGAGGACGGGATTGAGCCTTTGACAGATATGGTCCAGCTCCTCCTCTGCCCTTTCTCCTGACTTGTGGGCGGGAACTTGTCACTCAGTGGCTGCTCCAGGCTTGGCTGGGGCCTGCAGGTCACGTCCTGCACAACCCCAGGGCGCCCTCTGCCTGGGCCACAGCGTGAGTGGAGACGTGGAGGCCCACATGGTGGGGGACGACAATGGTGGCGAGAGCGGGTTCCTGGATTCTCGTGGAGCTTCCTGGTGCCCATGTGCTTTGACAGCCAAGAGCTCGCCCTGATTCTCCATCCTGGGTGTCCTCCCATGGGTTTGACACTCGCAAAAGCACCTGGTAGCTGGGAGGGTCTCAGAAGGAGGCAGGGTCACTTGGTCACTGGCTGAACAGTTTGCATACAGCGCCCCACTGAATCCCACAGGAACCCGGGTGGTGGCAACTATGAGATCCAGCTTCACAGAGCGGAGAGTGTGGCTTTGAGGAGTGAGGCACTTTGCCTTGACCTTGACCATGTAGCTGTTGAGAGCAGGGATGGGGCTAGACGGGGCCGCTGGACTTGGTCTGCAGGACAGCTGCCCCGTTGCTATATGGTGGCAGACACTCAGGTCCCTAACTTCTCCCCGAATCCTGCTCCCTAAAAACAAGCCTGTCACGTCCTCTCTGGGTCACATCACCAAGCCTGGAGTAGCAACCTTTCCTTTGGGAACGCTTTGTCAGGAAAAGAAGAGTTGCCCTTGTGATATTAGGACCGCGTCTTCCAGAGAAGGCGTTCTGGAAAACTCCACCTGGGGAGACAGCGCCCTCTCCTGGCCCCAAAGATGGATGGGAACAGGAGCGAGCGGGCGGGCGTCCAGCTGGCTCTGGATTTCTCAGGAAAACTGGACCCAAAATATTTGATGAGAGTCACTCTCCAACATGTACTTAAAGATAAACAGCCCCCAGGCAGGGTCACCAGGCCAGCGGGACAGAATCCACAGGAGTGGCAGCCGGCACGGGACCCCCTTCAGCCAGAACCCAGGGAGGCTCCCAGGGGGACAGGTCCCGCACGAGGCCAGTCACACGGGGCCTAGAGCATTCACAGAGGCAGGAGGCAGAGCAGCGCTGCCCGGGCTGGGCGAGGGCGGAGGCGCCTCCCTCTTCCACGGGGACAGTTTGGGTTCTGCAAGATGAAGCAGGGCAGCGGTGGAGATGGGCACCTCATGCCACCAACGTCCTCACGTGAGCATGGCGAGGTGGCAGACCTCATGCTGCGTGGATCCCACCCCAGGGTCAGAAGGGAAAAGATCAGAAGCAGACGGACACAGGTGAGTGTTGGAGGTTTCCCTGGGGGTGGGTGATGGAACCGTGCTGGAAACAGACCCTGCAACGGCGGCCGGCTCATCGATTCTCTAGAGCTTGCAAGGCGCTCACTTGAAATAGGGAACGTGTGTGTCACACCACGTGAGCCTCAATGAAGCCACGGGAGCCAGCCGGGGAGCCACGGGCCTGTTTGAGGCGATGCGGCTTGCTGTTTGGCGTGGTGATGGCCACATGTCAAAGCCCACCACGGTAGGCACTTTACCCACAGGCAGCTGGATACGTCAGTCACCCCACACCAAAGCTGGGTCTTTAAAAGGCAGCACAGCCTGGTGGTGGCACATGCCTGCCATCCCAATAGCCCAGGAGGCTGAGGCAGCAGGATTGTGACAGCAACAGTGAGGTGCTAAGCAGCTCAGTGAGGCCCTGTCTCTTAATAAAACCCAAAATAGGGCTGGGGATGGGGCTCAGTGATTGAGTGCCCCTGAGTTTGATCCCYGGTACAAAAAAAAAAAGGGTAGCCCAGTGTCGCACGGTAATGGGTCTCTCATAGTTCATCAGTGCCCTTCTCATGGGCACTGAGGTCTCAAATTTTAGGTTATTATAAGTAATATTTCAGTAAATATTTTTGTAAGATAAGAAATATATATATATTGTATGTCCTCTCCTCTCTGCCTGGCAAGTCACAAAAATCAGAATTTCCTAAGGAGGGGGCCCAGGAACCTATAATTTTACCGGAAATTTCTGAAAAATTCTTGTAATCAGACTCATTAAGGAAACACTGCCTCAGACTTCACAGACTTGAATCAGAAATTCCATTTTCTTTCATCCCTGAAACAGCCCACAAATGCTATGTACAAAATACTCTGTATTGGCTTCCCTTCTGCTGGGGCACACCAGGCTCTCCTAGGAGCTGGTGAGCATGCAGCTTCCAGGAGTACTGTAGGGCTGTTAGCTGGAGCATAAATGAATCAATGAGGAAATATGAATAAATAAAATATGGGGTATCCAGTTCAAACTGAGTTTCTGAAAAAACTGAATAAAATTCTTAGCATAAGTATATCCCATGCCATATTGGGGACCTACTTATAACTAAAATTATTTTTTTAATATAAATTAAAATTTAACTAGGTGTCTTGCATTTTTTCTGGCAACCCTAAGCATGAGTCCTTGGGCCTGGGGGAGCTCAGAGATCTGCACTGCTGCTCTGCTGTCATGTGGTTCTGACATGGGGGACCTAAGTGGCCTCCTGAGAACCGCTGATCAGGACAGCACCCTCTGGGTCAGGAGGCCTCGCAGTGCTGCCAGAGGACCCGGAGCTTTCCCTGAGCAAACGCCTTAGCGTTGGTGCCAGGGGAAGGAGAGAGCAGGAGCGGCCTGTCCCGGGTTCCAAAGCCCAGTGTGAGCCCGGTGGTGGGGTCCTGGTCCAGGCGCCTGCGGGTCGCCGAGGGCGATGCCTGTGGCCAGCTTCCACAGGGCTCTGGGAGACCCCAGCCCCAGGCCGCTGGCTGGAGTCTCTATATTTATTATTCTTGGTCTTGTCCTAGGAAGGGTCTAAGCCTTGGGGGTCTCAGTCCCTGCAGCAGAGTTGGGGTGGRAGTGAGGCCAACACCCACCTCCCAGGACACAGACGACGGGTGCCACCGAGGCGCCGCAGGCTGTGAGTTTCACCATCGTCATGGGCGCATTGGACCTTCAGGTAACGAGACCCCGTGAGCCCAGGGCGGTCACGGCCCCACCCCGTGGATGCCAAGGCGGCCGTCCAGGGTCAGGAGCTGCTCAGGAGCCCGCAGGGAGYGGGGCGGCAGGGCGGGGACCCGCGGCCAAGCCTGTGACCTCGCCGGCCCCTGCGCGCCTCCCTGGTGGGCCCCGCGCTCCTGGTGACCGAAGTTTCATGGGTTGATTTTCAGTGATTTCACTTGAGACCCAGGTCTGGGCCCTGAGCCCGGGCGCATTTCTGCTGGGCCCGACAGTGACTGTCATGTTCACAGCTGGGAGTTTCACGAAGGCCACACCCCACCATATGGGGGCGATGCTCCCCCAGACCCGCGGCCGGGGCTTTCGCAGCCGGCGGTGCGCAGCCTGCAAAGAGGGGCGCCCTCTGCAGAGCTGCACCCTGGGCTGTCCCGACGGCAGGCGACACGGCAGGACGAAGCAAGCTGGGGACATCGTCCCCTGCAGCGCACTGCTGGGCACCTCGTCCCCTGCCCCGTCATGGCTCGGCATGTGGTCCCGGGCGGCATGTGGTCCCGGGCACCCTGGGCCTCTGGCACAGCTGGGCACCCTGTCCCCCTGCCCCGACGCGGCTCGGCATACCGCCTGCAGTGGCCCGGGCTCACCTGGGGTGGATTCTCAATGACCAGCTCGTAGGTCAGTCCCACGGATCCAAATCTCAGGATGTCCCCGGGGATGAGCTTCACAGCCACRTTCTGGATGTGACACTCGTTGACGAACGTGCCGTTGCGGGAATTGAAGTCCTGAAGAAYGAAACTGCCCTCGTCCTCGTTGAACTCAATGAGCGCGTGGTGGTTGTCGATGTCTGCCGACTGAAAACACAGACGGACAGTGGTCATGGGAACAAAAATGCACGGCCCTGGTGCACACTGTRCGCCAGAATGTGTCACCCAAGTCACTGTGGATTGTCACCACATTGTTTTATCTATTTTTTGGTACTGGGCACTGAATCCTGGGCCTGGCACATGCTAAGCAAGTACTCTACAGGGAGCTACACCCTCCGCTCACAATCCTCATTGTTAAAGGATGCTGAGGATCAGAGAGGGTAAGTGATTTTCTTAAGGCCACATAGCTAGAGTGTGTTGGAGCTGGGATGTGCTCTCTGACTCCAGACCTGGGGACAGGCACCAAGTTGTTGGGTGCAGAGTCAGAAAAAGGCAAAAGGAAGCTGGGTAGTCTCAGTGGGTAAATGTTTGGCCAGGGAGTTGGCCGTTCCTGTTCCCTTGACTCTGCACCAGCAGGTGTAGGGTGGGAGGGAAAGGCTGGGCAGGAAACAGAAACCGCCTGGACGCCAACCACCAAGGCCAGTGGCCAGTGAGAGCCGTCCTGCCAGGTCCACGGAGAGGGTACACATAGCCGAGGGGGTGTTGCTGTTCATTGTTTTGTTCGTTCAAAAACTAACATTTTTATGGCAGAAAATGAGAAATAGAGAAAAGCCGTAAAAAGATATTAAAATCTCTTGTAATCCCATCCTCCAGAGGCAGCCGCTGTTAATACTGTGGCTCACATCCTTCTGGGTTTTTTTCTATGTTGGCATTCTTTTAAAATTAAAACAAAATTAATCACTTAACACATACAACTGCCTTTCAAAACTCGGACATGCCATGAAGCGTGTTCCCGTGTGATTAGTTATTCCCATTGCACCTTAGAAGCTACTCAGAGTTTATCTAACCAAAGACGATCTACCTTTCAACAGGGGGCCAGGTGTGACTGTGGTCCCCAAAGGAAAGGGGTCCYGGCCAGTGCATCTGGGAGCTGGTGGTGGGGGACAGAAGCACCTCTCAATTTCATTTTTTAAAAAATCTGATTGAACTCAAGGATGCTTAACCACTGAGCCATATCCCCAGCCCTTTTTATTTTTTTTWATTTTGAGATAGGGTCTTGCTAAGTCTCTTAGGGTCTGGCCAAGCTGCTGAGGTTGGCTTTGAACTTGCAATCCTCCTGCCTTGGCCTCCTGAGTTGCTGGGATTACAGGCGTGCACCACGGTGCCCAACTTAATTCTGCTTTAATAAGAAGAGTGAGCCGAGCTCAGCATCCAGGGCAACAGCACCTTCCCCTGGCCTCGGGCCCTGCAGGGAGGTAAGGAAACACATTTCTTTTCTTTTCTATTCTATTTATTTCCTTTCTTCCTTCCTCCTCTTTTTTTAATTTTTTTTTTTTTTTTAATGATGGGGCCTCACTCTGTTGCCTAGATTGACCCTAAGCTCAGGTGATCCTTCCGTCTCAGTCTCCGGGTAACTGGGACGCCCTGCACGTACCACATGCCTGAATGTCTTTGTCTTTTAAGGACACAGCCTACAGGACATCCACTCCAGCCTGAGACTTTGCAATCGTTTTCTAAGTTCACCTTCTTCATCTTTTCAGGATATCCCCATCAGGTTTCATTAAAAAGTACATGCACTCAGAAATCTAAAATGCCACCATTAGTACCAACAGTTTATTTTACTAATAAAACATATTGATGCATGTGACCGAGGAGCATTCTAACATATTAAACTTTACATGCCAGGAAACTGGCCAGCTTTTTTTGCCACGGTGTCCCATTTCATCCTCACAATCCAGACAGTCCCCATTTTGTGGAGGAGGAAACTGAGTCCTAGAATGATGGATTTATGTGGGGCCACCAACTTGACAAGCTTGGTTTGTACCCAGTTTTCCTAAATTGAGGTCTATTGACAAGTTTCCGTCAAACACTTTAACACTCCAATACAAAGACACCAAAGAAAGCTGGAGTAGCTAAATTCGTTGCAGACACATCTGACTTCAGAAGAAGAAGAGCTATTGGGGATGTAGAGAGGCATTAAAAAATGATAAAAGGGTCCATTCTCTGAGAAGACGTAACAACCCTAAACATGTATGCACCTCATAACAGAGTTAAAAAATACAAGAGGCAAAACCCAATAAACTGCAAGGAGAGACAGAACATCCCTTGTGGTAGCTGAGATGCCATTCCTTCTCTGCCAGTAACAGATGGACCCAGCAGGCAGAAAATGAGTAAGGCCACAAGATGAACTGCATGGCACCAGCMATCAACCAGATCTAATTGGCTGATCAACACTATGTAAGCCAACAACAACAAGACACACATTCTTTTCGAGTACATATAGACAATCATTCACCAAGATACACCACGTTCTGGGCCATAAAACACACCTCAGCATATTTAGAAGAATAGAAAGTATGCTGACTCTGCTCTCAGACCACAGTGGAATTAAACTAGAAATCAGGAAGAAAAAGATTGCTGGAAAATCCCCAAATATCTGAAGTTTAAACAATTTATTTCTAAATCGCTAAATACCACATGAGTCATAAAAGAAGTCCCAAGACCAGTGAAAAATGATCTTAACTAAATGAAAATGAAAACCAACATTTGTGGCTGCAGGGAGAGCCGGGCATGGGTGGTGTTGAATGCATGGGTGGTGTGAAGAAAGATCTCAAATAAACAATCAAGGCTTCCACCGTGGGAAACCAGAGATAGAAAGGCAACAAGCCTAATATAAACAGAACATAAATAAAAATTAGAGCAAAAATGAAAGAAATTGAAAAAGGAAAAAAGTATAGATAACAATAAAAGAGACTTGTATCGTTTGGATTTGAATGTGTCCCAAATGCACACATGTTGAAGATTTGGTCTCAGCCTGTGCTCCTACTGTGAGGTGGTGGAGCCTTTAAGAGGTGGGGCTTAGTGGGAGGAAGTTAGGTGACTGGGGACATGCCTTTGGAGGGAATCTTTGGACCCTAACTTCTTCTTCTCCTTTTGCTTCCTGGCTATCATGGGGTGAACGGGCCTCCTCTGACACGATGCACCTTGCTGCCCCAGACCCAGAGCAGCAGGCCAAGCAGCATGGACTGAAATCTCTGAAAACATGTGCCCAAATGTACCTTTCTTCTGTAAGGTGATTGTCTCAGGTATTTTGTTACAGTAGTGGAAAGCTGACCAACACAGACTCCAAAAGGTGAATCTTTAGAAGGATCAGTAAAATCAACAAACCTCTAGTAAGCTGACCAGGAAAAAAAAAAAGAGAAGACAAAAAGGATGGCAGGCAGACAGGAGAGAGAGGCCATTRCCACTGAGCCCAGGGACATGGAAAGGACAACAAAGGAATATTATGAACAACTCTCTGTCCACAAGTTGGATAACTTGGATGAAATGGACCTACTCCTTGAAAGACCAATCTACCAAATTCATACAAGAAGAATCAGATGATCCAAGTGGGACCATACATCYTTCATAAAAGAACTTGAATCAATAATTAATAATCTTCCAAAGAAGAAATCACCAGGCCCAAATAAGTTCATGGATGAATTATATCAAACACTTAAGGAAGAAGTGATACGATTTCTTCCAGAACACTMCCSAACTCATTCAATGAGGCCAGTATCGTCCCAATTCCAAAACCAGATACAAACATTACAAGAAAGGAAAACAAAAAAMCAACATCTCGTATGAACATAGATGCAAAATCTTCAACAAAATGTTAGCAAACGAATCCTCAATGTACAAAAAGAATGAATCGAACACTCCCAACCTGCCGAGCACCACGACTCGAAGTAGCTTACCTAAGAGGTGCTCCGGAGCCTCATTTGCCTGCCACTGAAGAGGGTATTGTGTCACAGGACCTTAGCACAGGAAAAGACCAAAATTCAAAACTCTAAGTGTGGTTGCTACTGAAGGTGTGCTGCGTTCGCACCACTGGAAAGTGAGAAGAATCACAAACCATCACAACTTGGGGGCGGTCCATACCGAGTGAACGATGTGAACCAGAGACTTCAGTTAGTAAAAATATACTCACCAACTGCAAAAATGTGCACTGGCAAAGTGTGTGTGTGTGTGTGTGTGTAATCGGGGGGGACAGAGAGATGGGAATGCTGTCCTATTAAAGTGTGCCACCCTCTCCTCATTCCTACTAACCACATTGGTGCCCTTGGAACCTTGACGGCCTACAACAAGGAGGCACATTCTGTGGGTGACTTTGGTTCCTCCTTCTCTAGGCCCCTTTACTTTCAGTTCCTCAGAAGCTGCCAGGCCATGATTAAGTCGTGGAAGTGAGCAGGACGGTGTGGACAAATCCAGTGCACGGACCAGGCTTTGCCACAGGCGGGGCCGGGAACCCCTGATAACACACTCCTCCTGTATTGGACAAGTGCACAAAGCTCACATTGGGCAAAAGCCTGGCTGTGACACAGACTGGCTGCCCAAGCCCCGCCCTGTCGGGTGGCCACTAAGGACCAACTGATTTAAATATCGTTAGCCCCTAACATACTCTGAGAGCTCCCTGTGGACGGGCCCTTCCAGAGCACTCTGTGTTCATTCCCTTACTTAACCTGCACCACAGACCTTTTATATCAGATTGTATTAATATCCCCATGTCACAGATGAAGAACCTGACACCCCAAAGGTGAAGTGAGGGTCCAACATTACCCTGACACAACCCAGAACAAAAGGAGTTATAAGAAAACTATAAACGAATATCCCTCATGAATATTGATGCAAAACTCTTTTTTATGGGGTCTCATTATGTTGTGCAGTTTGGTCTTGAACTCTTGGGCTCAAATGGTCTTCCTGTCTCAGTCTCCCGCATAGCTGGGACTACAGGCTCATGCCACTGTGCTTGGGTTATCGATGCAATAATGTTTAACAAAATGTTAGCAAATGGAATTCAATAGCTCATTAAAGGATTATATAGCACAACCAGGTGAGATGTATTCCTGGAATGCAAGGATGGTTCAATACCTGAACCTCAGTCAGTGTATCCTGCCACATCAACAGAAGGAAGGAGTAAAATATCATAATCACTTCAATTGACGCAG